GGTTTTTTCTTCTTCATTGTGAACATTTGAATTAGGGCTGTGATTAACGCTTTTCAGAGAGGTTTTTTCTTCTTCATTGTGAACATTTGAATTAGGGCTGTGATGAACGCTTTTCAGAGAGGTTTTTTCTTCTTCATTGTGAACATTTGAATTAGGGCTGTGATTAACGCTTTTCAGGGAGGTTTGATCTTCTTCATTGTGAACATTTGAATCAGGGCCGTGATGAACGCTTTTCAGAGAGGTTTTTTCTTCTTCATTGTGAACATTTGAATCAGGGCTGTGATGAACGCTTTTCAGAGAGGTTTTTTCTTCTTCATTGTGAACATTTGAATCAGGGCTGTGATGAACGCTTTTCAGAGAGGTTTTTTCTTCTTCATTGTGAACATTTGAATCAGGGCTGTGATGAACGCTTTTCAGAGAGGTTTTTTCTTCTTCATTGTGAACATTTGAATCAGGGCTGTGATGAACGCTTTTCAGAGAGGTTTTTTCTTCTTCATTGCAAACATTTGAATCAAGGCTGTGATGAACGCCTAAATGTCTAAATGTCAAAATGCTAAATATGAAATGTGGTTTTATAGTCAATTATTTTCAATACAGTAATAATCAAACTAATTATTAATCGGCTCCGTATGGAATAGAAATAGTATTTAATTTTTAGAATCCTTTTTTTAAATTTTTTTTTTACATAATACAGGTGGCTGAAGACACTGTTCCTTTATACACCGAGTTCAAGTAACATTTGAAAAATACTTCATGTACCCAATTGTACCAGTAATACAAGAAACTAAAAAAAATATTTTAAGAAAACAAAATGTGGTAACTCATCTTGGTGACTATATCATTTTAAGCTCGAAAATATTTTATTTTATATTATTTATATCAGCATATTTGTAATACTTAAAGCTATTAAATTTTACATTAATTCGTAAATAATTCATTCGCGTAACTAAAAATTCAAATCAGTTGTCAATAATTGTTTAAGAACTATTCCTATTAGAAAACAATTGCATTCTTATATAAGATTTATTTGAAACATTTCGATTTACACACTTACGTTAAAGATAAAAACAAGATAATTATTATATTGTATTATATTATGCTCAATATCAAAGAAGAAATTACATAAGAAACCTAAAATGTCGAAACATTACACATTATATTAAATTTTAAAATTCTAACGATAAAGAACACGTAATCTAGGAATTTTAAAAGAGTCAAAAGAAGATAAGGAACTTACCTATCCTTAAAAATAATTACTTTACGAGACACTGTTATCGTTCTCAAACATCTTAGTCTAGAAGGTTCCACAGTATAAGTTTTTTTAAAAACTGAAATGTAAATAACTTTTTTTTTTTAAAATGTGTTGATACTCTACATTTGCATTTACTAAACAAAGAAAATGTCCTTTCAGCGGAACACCCAGCGAATGACGTTAGTCTATATTCATGTGTAGTCGTGTGTATGAGTATACTTATGGGTTGAAGCAGGCGTATGTTTAGGCGCAGGCGTAGGCGTAAGTGAAGTACGCTATAATTACAATATGTATCAATATAAAAAATTTCTAACATGGTCTGTAGCAATTGAATTAACATGTAATAGTAACACAACGCCATCGCATAAACATAATAACACATTATCAAGTAGTAGCCTTTATCTACAATTCAAGTTGATTGGACGCGCATTCGCTTTGAAGACAACTCAGGCTGTATAATTAAAATCGGCCTTTGAATGTGTATTTTATCGTATTGTTATATTAAAATAACATTAATGTTATTAATTCAGCAGCTCACAATTAGCCCGTAGCCGAATAAGGGAGGTATGATAGGACAGCAGTTTAGGGCGCCTGATTTTTAGGGGCCCACAAATTTATCTGACAAACTCAATTTCACTTTACAACGTAATTGTTGGTTTTGACTATAAAAACAAAAGTTTTGATGTTTGAATTACAAGCCTATTTCAATTTTTTTAAATATCAAACACTTGAGTATATATATATATATATTTATATACATATATATATATATAGCCTATATATATATATATATATATATATATATATATATATATATATATATATATATATATATATATATATATATATGTTTGCATGTGTGTATGTTTGTATGTGTATAAACAGAAATGTATTCAATATATTTACCACATAAAGGAGAAGCATCCGGCCGGCTTACTGCAATAGCTGGTTCCACATTTACACCTTTGTCTAATATCAGCGACAAGTAGTTGGCAGAAATGCTACAAATATTTTTTAAAATTAAAACACCACTAAAAATTGTTTCTATAATGATATAAACATACTTACATGTGTGTTTATGATTTTACTTGCTTACTAACAGAAATTTCGCATCATTAAGTTCTATATAGTTACAAAAATAAGCGTACTGCACCAGGTTACAATATAACCCCCCCCCCCCCTACACCAAGGTAACAGTTCTTCCAATGGAATATGTGAGTGTTGCTTTTTTTAAGCTTGTCCCTAAATACTAAATTATTTCACAGAAGCGTTACCGGTGACGCATTATAGCTTCCCCTTATTGCATCTCAACGTGAAAGAGGGGAAGTGTGATGCGGATGGTTCCGATTGACATCATTTGGGAGGGGAGGGGGCGACGACATGGCAAAAATGCTAAATTCATGGAAGAAAAATTGCTTTTTCCAGTTCAATTTATAATAAATTAATGGTAAATAGTCTTTTAAGTACACATTTTAAATTCCCAACAAGGGTTGTAATCGTGACGTAAACTTGCTAACCATTTTTTATGACTCGTTTTTCATGCGCTGTGAAACCACGTCACCTTAATTCAAATCACGCCGGAAGAAAAAAAAACATTTAAATTAAAGTAAATACCAAACCTGCCATGTTTGAAACTATCTTGATATTTCGGCTGCTCTGACTGTATTGCTGAAATTACGTGTTTAGATTTTACTCATTTACTTATCGTGAGTTTGCAAGTCTACGCTACAATGAAGTAGTTTCTAGATTTCAGTGCTATATTTCCCAAATGCTGTTGTACACGAAGAAATCTATTAGTGCTAGTTGCAACTAAAGTATGTAAAATAAAATATAATATAGCCTACTTATATTCAACATTAACCTTTTTATCTTTAAATCTTATGAATATTGCAAATAAATATTTACCTGTGTTATTTTGCGTATTTCTTACTGTGATTTTAGAACTATTTGGGCATGCTTCATGCTTTGTTCTGCTCTTTAAAGAGTCTATTTTTAGCTCATCGGTAGCTCTAGAAATTAGTGAACAAATATGACCAAAAAAAAAATTAAGGTTGTATAACACCAATAAACATTATTAATAACTTTTTTGTTTTGTTTATTAGAGGCGTTTTTAAATGTAAAGCTCACTAAACCCTAGTAAAAATTAAAATAATAAATTTAATTTAAAAAAAAACCATTACCCGGATACAGCACCAGTGTCACCGCTATCAATAGCTTGAGTTTCGCTGTTGTTTGCAGTTTCGCCCAGACGTATATTGACATTCTTATCTAGATTTCTAAAAATTTAAAATGCAAACACACGATATTGATAACGATTGAAGTGTAATGTGGTTACAAGCGTCAACAAACGTTAACAAGAATAAGAAAATGAAATCACCTGTTCAACAACACAGGGATGGGTGTACTCTCAGGTCTTTTAATTTGCTTGGCTGCAAAATGATGTGCGTTGATTTATTATAGAAAAGGTTTGTATACGCATAACTTTATGACAAAATAAACCAGGAGTGATCTCCCCTAAACTCTCTCGAATATTCTTATATAAAACAACAGGAGATGGCAACTCGGGATATAAACATAATTTTTAATCCATGTTTAATTGCTTAAACTTTTTACTTTCTCGTATATACGAAGTATAGTGAAAGTCTTCTAATCGTGCAAAAAAAATCGAGATTTTTGCAAATCTGGAAGTTTTGCACCTCCCTGGGTCGGAAAAACATAGTTTTGCAATCGTGTCCATATGTGTGTGTGTATGTGTGAGTGTGTGTGTTTCTGTGTCTGTAAACACTATAAATTGAGTATAGCTAGGTTGATGAAATATATATAAGTATTATATCAAATTTGAAGAGTTTTTAGCGATTTTCGATAGCCGGAAGTGGAAATTTTTCTACTTTCAGTTTTTCAAAAGCCTATAACTTGAGTACTATTTCAGATGGAAAAATGAAAATATCTAATTCTCTGCCTTCTGTCAAATTTTGATTAATTTCCATTAACCATAAGTAGTAATTTTCGCTATTTCCGATTTCTCAAAAACCGCATGTGAATTTATAGAGTACCAATAATCTTCCACACTATTATGCACATTTTGTTTGGCGTTCATTTGATGCGCAATTCTTTTTCAATTTTATTCTATTTTTAAAAGAATAAGTATTTAAAATGGATTAAAAATCATGTCTTTATCACGAGTTGCCTTTATCTGTTATTTTATATAAGAACATTTGAGAAAGTTTAGGGGAGATCACTCCCGGTTTATTTAAAATAAAATACAAAAAGTAAAAACAGTTTTAAAATTATAACAGCTTTTTATTTAATTTCATCCTCATATCCGCTTGTATTTCAGATTGTTCAATAATTACTAAATAGGACATGCAGAAGTCTATAAATAAGAAATTAAATAGCACTTGCGTTGAACGCAGCGCAAAATATTTAAATTATGAAGACCTAAAAGTTTCGGAAACGAGGTTGCCTATAAGGCCTGTACAAGTATTTGAAAAATTAAAAACAATTAGAAATTTCCCTGAATTTAGCCAGAAAGTTCGCACAAAAACTTCCAGTGTTATAATGCCCCTACGCGATTCAATTCAGTTAAAATATTACATTTTTTTTTAAATATAACAACATGTTTAATCAAAGTAATTCAAAACTTGAAAAAAATACTAATTAAGCTTAAGAAAATACACTGGAGGTATTTAGCAAAATAGTTATTTTATAGTAATTTTAAAATATAGTAATTTTGTCGAGAATATTAGAGCTAACCTTTTATATTTGATTCAGGGCTGTGATGAATGCTTTTCAAATAGGTTTGTTCTTCACCGTTGTGAACATTTGAATCAGGGCTGTGATGAACGCTTTTCAGAAAAGTTTGTTTTTCTTCGGTGTGAACATTTGAATTAGGGCTGTGATGAACGCTTTTCGGAAAGGTTTGTTTTTCTCCATTAATTTTTAGTGGGTACTTTACAATGTCATTTCTTTGTTGTCTTTTTGCTATCATCAAAAGAGAGTACCCATAACTGTCGACCTGCTTTATATTTGCATTATTTTCTATTAAAATTCTAACTACATCCAAATGACCAGCATCTACTGCATGGTGCAAAGCTGTTTGACCTTTCACATCCAACGCATGGACGTTAGCATGGTTGTTTAAGAGAATATGAACGGTTACAGCATGACCCTTTTTAGCAGCGATGCTAAGAGCTGTAAATCCATCAGTTCTTTGAGACTCGGTGTTGGGTTTCTCCTTAAGCAGCCTTTGCAGTGCCCTGTCGTTTCCGTGCTTTGCTGTTATAATAAGGGATGTGTTACCTTCCAGGTCTGCGTGGTTTACATTTGCGCCATTCTCAAGTAAAATTTCTATGATCTCAGGATTATTTTTTCTACTGGCAAACATAAGAGGAGTCCGGCCCGACTTGCTATATTTATCAACTATTGCTCCGTTTTTCAACAACATTTTTACAATATCCACTTTTTCTTTCACGGTGGCGTGGATCAGTGGTGTCCACCCTTTGATATCTGCTAAATTTACATTTGCGTTGTAATCTAAGAGAAGCTGAACAACTCTCGCCTGACTATATTGTGCTGCAGCACACAGAGGAGTTTCTTCGTCTTCGACACAATCTATTGGGGCCTCATATTTAAGTAAAGCTTTCATAGTTTTGATGTGTGTTTTTTTCGTGGCGACAACTAGAGCATGGCCTCCTCTGTTCGAATCACCTGAATTTGATGTATACCTGAACATGATATCCACAGCCTCGTCATTGTCCACCTCGGCGGCGATAGCTAACGTGTCGTTAACCATTTTAGGATCATCTCTGATATGGCGAAATTTTTTCATCATAATATCAACAATAGTGTTATGGCGCTTATAGGTAGCTATACTCAGCACATTTCTACCCTCTTTATTATAGCCTTCAATATTCGGATCAAACTTTAGTAGAAACCTGAAAGCTTTTACAGAACCCATCTCTGCTGCAATCATTAAGGCCGTATTTTCTTGATCGTCTTTTTCGTCTAAGTACGCCCCTTTTCTTAATAGCTCTTGACACATATTTGCTTTATCTGTAGTTGCTGCGATATGCAAAGGATAACTTCCACTAGCGTCAGGTATTTCAGCCAGAGATTCACTTTTATTTAATAACCATTTAGCTGCCTGATCATGATTGCCTTTCAATGCAAGCATTAGAGCTGTTTGTTGAGTATGGTCAGCATCGTTAACGTTTGTTTCGTCGTTGTACAATAATTTTAAAATTTGAGTATGGCCTTCAGCCGCTGCCATCATAAAAGCTGTCTGTCCTTTCCCATTTTTTATTGTTTTGTCTATATTTGGATTCGACAGCAATCCTCTGACTAATAATTTATTTCCGAGTGAAGCAGCCTTCATAAGAGGAGTGTTCCCCGTAGAATCTGTGCAGTTAATGACAGACTCAATGCACTGTAGCAATGGTCTAAAAGCTTGAACATATCCTCTGAATAATGCAATGGGTGAACTTTCTAGTTCTCTATATCCGTTTTCCATTTTCTGCAAATATTTTTTCAACGCAGTATTACTTTAAAGGTACACATTTTAGAATTAAAATAATTTGTTGCATTATGGTTAGAATAAATCAAAGCAGTGAGAAGCTTAGGGCTATTTCTTAAAAGTTGTTAAGAAAAAAATGTCAAAACTGCTTTAAGGTAAGTAAATCCTTACATAAAAATGACAAAAGTCGGAGAGAATCAAATATGATAATTGATGATTGACATTGGCAAAAATTAAAGACGGCGCTAGAACAGTAGCGTAGCGAGGGGGGGGGGGGGCGGGGGCGGGGGGGGGGGACCCGGGCTCTGACCTTAGAGCGCGCCAAAATGGGTTGGAAAAATAAATTAAAAGGTTAGGGGGGGTGCAAATCGAAAGTTTGAGGGGGGGGGTGCAAATCGAAAAGTTTGTCCCCGGGCGCCGGGAAGGGTCGCTACGCCTCTGCGCTAGAACAAAAGGAATTACACAGATTACTCGAACACAGCACTAAAATGTGATGGTCTAAATGTATAGAATAAATGATTGCTGTCTCCGAAACTGAGCGATGCAACCCGCTGTTTACATAATAAGAACCTCTCCGATTACCACAGATAGCAATTAAAGAGGAAACTCAAACTTTTTGCTTTTGTTAAATTTTGATTTTTCTAGCTTTTTCAAGAAAACAATTTAAGTAAAAAAAAGTTCTCATGAAATGCAGATGGTGTTTATTACAAGTTTATAATTCAAAGGAGATTATTTTTTGGCGGTTGATCAATATTACCAAGGATGTTTCTAAACAGCGATGTAGGCATTAGCTAGAGGACATTATGTGTCGCGGATCCTATGGACTTTTGTATAAAAGGCTACTGACTGGAGCCATTTTGTGTCGCGGACTTCTGATTAGGAAGGTTTCACACGGTTTGATTGAAGGAGAAGGTTTGGGAGGAACAATTTTGACACCGCACAAAAGTGTGCTTGTTTCCTGGAACTTCTAATTAAATTTGTTTGGGAAAACGAAATAAATGTGATTTTTATTTTACACTTAAAATTCAAACGCATTTTTTTTTCACGGGACTTCCCAAATTGAGTGTGTGTGTGTGTTGTGTGTGTGCGTGTGCAGAGTCGTAAGTAGGGGCGGGGGGACGGCCGGCCCGGGCGCCGACCCTTGGTGAACGTCAAAAGGGGTAAACAAAATTTTTAAAAATCATTTTAAGCTGTAGTTTTGATTTATAAACTGTCAAAGTTAAGAAATGTAACTGCTGCAAGCTTTTATATCACGGGTTCCCAACCTGGGGGTCGCGACCCCCCTGGGGGTTGCGAAGGGTTCTCTGGGGGGTCGCCAACTGGTATACTAAACCTTAGTAATTTGAAACAAAACATAAATATTTAGAAGAATTTTTGAAATTCGGCTTTACTAACATCACTGGAAAGGGAATAGAGAAGAAGCAAAGCGTAGTGTACAAAGTTGTTTTCAGTCACGAGTTTATGAAATCTTCAAAACTAAAACGTCATTTGAGACGAGTCATTCGAAACACACTAAAAAAGATATGGAGTTCTTTCGTCGGTATGAAGGTAGTTGCAAACGTCAGAGACTTGATCGAACAGGAAGTTTTCACCAAGGAAACACAGCATTAGTGCAAACATCACATGACGTCGCGACAGAAAATGCCAAGAAAAACCAAACACAATAGGAGAAAATCTCATCAAACGCCGCATGTTTAAGATGGTGAAGTTAATTCTTACATGCCGTAGATGTTAAATAACACATTTGTATTGAAATTAAGCTTTCAACATTGTTTGCTTTTCAAGTTGATAAATCAACAGACGTGAGTTCGTGTTCGCAGTTGCTGGTCTTTGTCTATATTCAATCAGATGATAGCAAAGAAGAGTTGCTCTTTTGTGAAGATAGCATGGAGAAAATAAATAGTTTTTTTTTTAATTGGATGATTAAAATGGGTTAAAACGGCTGTGAGGGTTTGTACGGGTACCATCTATGTTTAGGTCAAAATCGGGCTTTCAGAAAGCAGAAAAGATTTAGCTCCCTAACCACTCCCCTCACCAATCGCCATCAAGACTCCATTGCTGGTATTAGTGGTAAATTATATACAATCCTGAGCCTTCAAAGAGCTGAGCAAAGACCTGAATAAAGATCACGAGGTTCTGCTCTACTACACTACAGTGCGCTGGCTGTCAAACGAATTGTTGTGAATCGTGTTTTTGAATTGAAATCTGAAATCAAATTGTTCTTGGAAATGCAAAGGAAACAAGACCTTTTAGTATACTTAAAACGACATAGAGTGGTTGGAGAGAGTATCATACCTAGCAGATGTGTTTGAACATCAACATAAGCATAACCTGAAGCTTCAGGGAAAATGAACGAATATTATCACTTTCCATGATAATCTCGGGGCATTTTTATCAAAGCTGCAAAATTGGCGAAGAAAATAAATCTTGGATATATTGTAAATTTGAGAAACTCTGCAGTGTGGTAGATGAATCTAATTGTGAGATAATTAAAATTTTGAAAGAAGAAATTTCTGGGCATCTTGAATCAAGTGAAAACAAACTACTGAGCTGAAAAAAAAAGAATCTGCATTGACGTATTATCCATTCTCTTCTTCCCTCGATGTTGCCAGCATTCACGATGAATTACAAGATGAATTCTTTGATTTGTAGAATGATTCCGCGTAAGATAAAAAACTGCACACTCAATTTTGGTGTAGTATTCACCATTCATACCCAAACGTAAAATTATTTGACTTTTCGAGAATAGATTTTCAACACTATTTTTCGATTAAAACAAAATTAAGATAATGATAATGACATAGGTTGGCGTTAATAAAAAAAAATACTTTAAAAAAAATTAACCGCGAATTTTCAGTGAATAGTATGCAATTTTACCCATTGTATTAAAACAGTTAACAAGAGTAGTTCATATTGAAAGGCTACAAGAAAATGTTATTTTAGTGCTTATTAATTTCCATACACATTTCGGCTTTTTAATTCTATGGGGGTCGCGGGTCACTTAATTTTTATAAAAGGGGGTCGCCACTCGAAAAAGGTTGGGAACCACTGTTTTATATACTGATTTAACTGTTTTCTACCTTGATTGTGTAACTGTAAAACAAATACCCTTATATACATTTATGAAACATTGACCGGAAGAAATCATTTTACATTTTTTCTTGTTCGGGGGGGGGGTTCGATGCATGAAATAGGAAGAATTTACACTGGATTGGTCAGTAATTAAGTTTTGTGGGTGGGGAGGGGAGAGATTTTTAGCCAAGCTAGATGTGAAGATTTTACACCGAAATATTGAGTAGTTAAATCGTTTAATACTTAGAATACTTAGAATTTCGACGGAGAGAGCTAAGAAAAATTTAACACAGCTTTCTATATTTTAAATTACCTAGTAAACCTGTCCAAAAAGTTAACTAAGGCAAACTGGTACAATACGACGATTGCTACTGCTATGCTACTTTGTTCAACCTAACCGATAAATAAATATGTGATACACTAGTAATACCGAAATTGTTCTAAAGGTGCGATCAAAAGTGGACTAAATAAGCTTGCACCTTCTAAAAACTACACTCTACTTAGCAGTGGTTCTTAACCTTTTTGGAAGTAATGAACCACATCACTTTCATAAAAGCATTCACTGAACCCTTCTTATTAGTTATATTGTCCACACTGGCAAAATCGCGAACCTCTGTAGCCTCTTAATATATACGAGCCGGCCCGCGGCATAACATACGCCGCTATTTAGTTGTTTTATTTTCTACTTTTCAGTAATTCAAAATTTGTGAATTCGACAGCACCAACGCTGCCACTGAAAATATTTCTTTAAAACACTATTAGTAGCTCGTTAAGGACCATAACCCCCCCTTCCTTCCCCCCCCTCCCCCCCCCCCCCCCCCCTACGATTAAAATTGTTGGCTCTGCTTGTAAACATTTAGAGTGAACACAGCTCACTAAAACCATGTAGGGGTGGGGAGGTAGGGAGCGCGTTTACAGCTTGTTTTCTAGGCGCGTTTGCAGCTTGTTTTCTAGCGGCTCCCAGAAGAGAATTATATATATACGAGCCGGCCCGCGGCATAACATACGCCGCTATTTAGTTGTTTCTAATTTTCAATAATTCATAATTTGTGAATTCGACAGTACCAACGCTGACACTGAAAATATTTCTTTAAAACACTATAAGTAGCTCGTTAAGGACCATAACCCCCCCCCCCCCTTCCTTCCCTCCCCCCCTCCTCCCCCCCCCCCCCCCTTCGTTTAAAATCGTTGGCTCTGCTTGTAAACATTTAGAGTGAACACAGCTCACTAAAACCATGTAGGGGTGGGGAGGTAGGGAGAGCGTTTGCAGCTTGTTTTCTAACGGCTCGAAGAAGAGAATTATATATATACGAGCCGGCCCGCGGCATAACATACGCCGCTATTTAGTTGTTTCTAATTTTCAATAATTCATAATTTGTGAATTCGACAGTACCAACGCTGACACTGAAAATATTTCTTTAAAACACTATAAGTAGCTCGTTAAGGACCATAACCCCCCCCTTCCTTCCCTCCCCCCCCCCCCCCCTACGTTTAAAATCGTTGGCTCTGCTTGTAAACATTTAGAGTGAACACAGCTCACTAAAACCATGTGGGGGTGGGGAGGTAGGGAGAGCGTTTGCAGCTTGTTTTCTAACGGCTCGAAGAAGAGAATTATATATATAGATATATATATATATATATATATATATATATATGTAACTAGTGTAAGTTACTAGGGACGATAAGAACGCAATACAGTCTGTCAACTAAAGACTATGGTTAACAACGTATTACAGTCTGATGCAATAGTGCAGATGGTAGACTGATAACGAACACAAAGCCAAGGCGTATTTTGGGAAGCGATACGATAGAGCTGCGCAGTTCAACAGGCTGATGCAACGAGTGGAAACTATTACATGTACGTGGGATATATATAAGACGACGTATTGTTATGTGGAGCATTTCTATTGATTCATGTAATAATG